CGCTCCTGCTTTGCCCAAATATTCCCAGTTCACTTTCAATCTGTACGACATTTTGGCTTGCTTTTCTAAATAATTGTCAGCATCATCATCACCATTGGGGCATTTTGGCCTTGGCTCAGTCTGAACTTCGACATTTGATGTTTGCGTACTCGGCTTTTTCTTGTTTTCGGATTTTTTTTGCGTTTTGTTTTCCAGTGCCAAAAATTTATGCGACAACGCATAGCAATATTTCCCAGATGTAACCCGCACCACACCAGCCATAAAAATCTTCACAGTCGGTTGGGTTTCACCAAAAAAAAAAAACCAAACAAGAACGGAAAACAAGCTGCAAACAAAATTTCCACCAGTTTTATATGCTTTTTGGAGGTTGACATTTCAGAGAGTTAGTCGAAAACGCCCACATGAAGATGGGAAAACACAAACTAATTAAAAGCATTAATTAAATTGCTGGTTTAGATTACAACATATGTGTATTAGTTTCAACTCACTCAAAATGCATCCGTACAAATCGTTTTATTCTGTTTAATTTGTGTAATAACGCATGCGACTTCTTTGCCGCACCTTTAACAAGCACAGTAATTGAGTGCAAAACTCAATGTATGGTTTTTAACAAAATAGTAAAAATGGAGGCAAATATGCATGTTCACAACAATATATTTGAATAATTTACACAACAATTGTTTCTCATATGGCCTCGTAAAAATGTACCATAAAAATAAAAATGAATTTTATAGATTTCTTCAACGTGAATATCTGTCGCAGATTTAACGCTGAATAGCCAAAGGCTAAATGCTAAGTAGTGAAAACAAAGCGTCTGCCTGCACTTCCTGAAAGTGAATAATTATTATTTGGTTTATATTATTTTTAAGCAATTTACATTTCCGTCAACAGCATCAAAACTACACAAGTAAGCATTCATTCATAAAGACAATTGTAAAGGCAAATTAAGCAGGGAAATGGTTGACGATTTTTAATGCAATAAATCTGTCTAGATATGCGAAATTTTCGACAAATTTGAGTTTAACAAGGAAATCAAATAAGATTAATTGGTCTAGGGGGATTTAAAGTCAATTAGATCAGGTATTAAATTAACAAAGATTTCTAGCAGTTGAAATAGAAACAATATAAAAGAAAAATAAATTAAAATAATGAACATATCGGCAAAATATTGCATTTCATTGTGGGACTAATATATCAAAGGAAGGAAATATTTGCCTTTAACTGGATATTTCCTTTCCTTTTCAGTATGATTACACTCAACATTCTTCCCCATTTAACTGCTGACATTTCCCCAAACCCTTATATTATTTTTTCGCTTTTACATCGAGCGCAGTAACTTTACGAGGGTCATAAACTTAATTCCGCACAATTAGCTTCATCTGCATAATGGTCATATTTTATGCGAGCGAATAGAGTGTTAGCCAAGGGGGTCTGGGTCTCTTTGCATTTATTTGCTCCGCTCCAGTTATCCCCCATCATAGACATCAAAAACGGTCAATTTCCCTACGGGTTTGGATTCCGTTTCGGCGCTGAGAACTGGGGGGTGTCGCATAAAGTTTGCCATCTTTTTGCCGCTCGTTTATGGCCGCTCGTTTCCCGTTTCACTTGGTGCAGTTTTATGGGCATTCATTTAGTATTTAGGTCAGTTTTTTGCCACCCCCTCCAGCGTTCTGCCCTCTTCACTTATATATATTCCTTTGCATAATAATCCAGTGAGTGTGTGTGGTGCTCATATGCGAACAATCACAGCTCGGACCATGCGGCGTATACGCAACGTATTTATTTTTAGCAAATTGTTTAACGACTTTTAAGCACAATTGAATTAAAGAACTTGAGAGGAGCATGCATTCTTTGCTCGCTACTTGTCACTTTGTTGCTTGGCATTTAAAAATAAATAAATCAAATGATTCAACGGCTTGCGCTAGAAATGCCTTTGTCTTTATATCTCTGATGTTGTCTTTATGCGGAAATCAAAATTCTAAGATTTCTGATTTCGTTATGCAATCCATGCCAATGCCGTCTGTCAACCGCCAAGGAAAATTCGCTTCTATCCTCAATATTCATTGTAATTTTTTTCTGCTGTGGTGGGAATTTTGCAAACGATTTTTAATGTACGTGACGAAATCTGATTTTGAGTGCACACACACGCCAAAAAAAAAGACACGCTGGCACGAAAAAGATATAGATACAGGCAAAGAAAATATGAGATTCAATTTTTATAATCTAAATATCAAAATAATGAGATCCATTTAAAAAAAATTTTAAAAATGAGTTAATGAAAAATATAAATGTTAAAATGTTAGATTTACCATATAGAAAAATAAATAATAAATAGTTAAAATAGTAAAAAGAAGTAAAAGTTTAAAAAATTTCGTCATTAATTTAAAGAATTTTTTTGTGCAACTCAACAATTTTTGTATAGAAAGCTTTTTTACCGAGTGTACGCAAAAAACATATATAAATTGCACACATATGAGAATAGTCATATCTGAAGCCAAATGCAATTTATCAACAGTTGGGCTTAAATTGTCTGCAGCGTAACGGAAACTTGGCCCCGCGTGGAAGATGTTGCTATATCTTTGGGGGCGGGGCTGAAAAGGGGGCGCGGCTGGGGCGGACGTAGAGCGTAAAATTCTCTAATAAGTGCAAATTGGTAGCAGTCGCAAAAGCAAAAACAAACGCCACCACAACAACGGCAGCAGCCCGTCAGCGTTTGGCTTTGCATTTTAATTGAATTCGTGTTTTTTTTTGCCCACTCGATGTGGTTGTAAGTAGAAGTATCTGATGGATACGCACACATATAGTCGCAGATCGAACGGGAAGTAGCTGGTCACCGAGAACGTGGCCGCCTTCAGCGTGATATAATGTAGAAATAAATATAATTAGTATGCATAATACATATAGTTATGGCTCTGGACTTGGGAACAAGTGATGTGGCGGAGTAAAAGGAAAGGAGATCGTACGAGAATATTGCATAACAAACAGGGAAACCACTTTTAAAGTGAAAAACGTGTAGAAAATTTACGGAAATATCACTACAGTTGTATACTTAAGATAGCTATTTTTCCTATATTTCTATATGCTTTTATTTAAATGTATGACTTGATCTGATTTACTTAAAAAAATGGATTAAATCTATTCTGTTACTTTTAACAACCAAATTAATAAAATATACAATCAAAATATTATACATCCGCTTTGTTATTCACTTAAAGATATCGCAAATCTGTCAAAGTATAAAAAATGCCCATCTTATCGCACGAAAAAAGACAGTTTAAAAACCGTTAGAAGAGTAAACAGTTAAATAACATTTTCCCGTTATCTGGCAGGCCGCAGTAAAGTCCCGTTATGTTTGGCACCTTCATTCACATAACGCTTAGCCGCAAATCCAATCTAATAGGCGTTATCTTGCAAACAAACCCCTATCACTGGAATTTTAAATTTAGAATTCATTTGACACCCCAACGCAAAAGCCATAAAATGGGCATAACGAAGTAAACAAGAAATATTGACTTGCTTTTTACATAATCAACAACAATGTGGTGGTAATCGGATGTTTTATAAGATGCGGGAAATATGCAAACTTATAACACAAAATTAATAAAATAGAGATATCTTGTATGTTAATGTATACAAACAAAGTAATAAAACAAACAAGGAAATTATCTTATATCAAATTCCTAAATTTGTTTTTATTATTACTGTTCAATTAGATCAGGAAATAATATAATAAAATATGGCAAATAATTAATATCTGGTTTGGGAAATTGCCGAGGGAAAGTGATCCAGATGTTATTTACGCATTTATATATAAGCAAATGTGTGTAACAATTGCAATAACACCAAAAATGGTTATTAGGGTCTTACACTAAAATGCTAATGTTGTTCTTGTTGTTTTTATTGTCAATTTGTTGTTAGGCTAATGTTGCGTAATGTTAGGCTACATAACATAACATAACATAATCGCGTTTTCCGTCCTAACAACAGCTGCGCGCGTCTGTTTTACAGTTTTAATCTCTTTGATTTTAACAGTGAAAGAGTAAAATATTAAGAGAAAATAACTAACAGGGACAAATGAAAATTCAACAGAAATCTGTGCTGTTAATTTTCCAAATATCTCTTAATTTCTCTTAGGATGTTGCATTAGTTCATGTTGCTGGCATCTTGGCAACATTGTCCACAAGTGGCCTACGTGACGTAGCAAGGGGTGATAATGGGTGGTAGAAAGGGGGAGGAGAGAAGGTGGGGTGGGAAATGCATGACCTAGGCACTGCAATGACTTTCTATTCTAGGTGTTTCGCGCTCTGCTGTTGCTGCCTACCTTGATTTCACTTTTACATTGCATTTACCGATGGTCGAAGCTTGCTTTTTCAGGCAATCATTTATTATAAGTAATATATTTATCGAGGTGGTAATTTTTTGCAACATTGTTTTTTAAATCAATGTGATATTGTTTCACTTCTTTTATAACCTAAGGATTATCGCGATCGATAAACAACAAATTCTGTGCATTAATTATTTTTCTCGTGGAATGGATCATTTAGCTAACAAACAAAAGTTAATAGGTATTTAGCGATCGATATGATTTATGAAACTTTCACAATCTTGGAAGTCCAGAAAATATAATGAATGTAAAGAACTTATTGTTAATATCTTTTATATTTGACCAAATTAATATAGATGTTAAGTGGCGCCTCTTTTAGCAGCTGTCAAAATATATATCTGTTTTTTTTTTATTTTTATACGAAAAAATACTAATTTGACAAATATTTGCGCGTGTTGAATACTTGCCCTATCCCCCAAGATATAGATTCTATTTACACGTCTTTAGACGTTACATGCATATATCTAGAATATTGGCAGACGTAATTGTTTTGGCCGCACGCCGAAAAGCCTTAATGCTGCCAAGTTTCATTTGAGTCCAAAGATGACATTCATTGAGGAATTTACTTGATTTACAACCCATTATTAACTCAAATGTTAATGTTGATTTTTTGTAGCTCCAGCGAATTTCAAGAGTCTCTGCCTGCGTGCTGAAGTTCTCCTTAAATTGAGCCATTTTCAAAGTTCTCTAGCGGATATCGAGAATGCCCTAAGAACGCGCTGTACGTCACCAAAAGTGAGTTTGAAATTTGATCATCAAAAATAATTAAGTAATTAAATATATTTAATTTTTCAGGCCCACTATTTGAGAGCTTTGGCCTTAAGCGGTCTGGGTCGACTAGAGGAGGCTTTGTACAACGGCTTTTTGGCCATCTGCCTTGATAAGAATACAAATCTCAGCAACTCGGAAATATTTCAGCATGATCTCGCCAAGGTAGGTAAAAATAAGATATTAAATTAATTGCGAGGCTGCGAGATTTATGCCTGACTGATGTAGACGTAATAACAATTTAATGCTTACATTTTTGTTTGCCAAAGCTTCAAGTATATAGAAGAAGTAAATCAAATTTATTAAGATGAAAAATTTGTGGTAGTCTAGACATTATTAAAAAGCGCTAAAAACTAAAAGAAAACACATCTAAATTTATAAACTTTTTTTGAATTAAAGATTTATATCTAAAATAAAATGTATGCATCTTCATGAATAATAGAAATAATTCAAAAATTTAAAAAGACGAAAATCGACCACCGGCATTATTAATTGGCCCAATAAAAGAATGTAATGGAATGTAAATTACGCTCATTAATAGTAGTTAAGAAAAAAATGATTTTAAAGTTCGAAAAGTGTTTTTTATGTTTTACATTAAAATATAACTTTTACAAATATTGAAGCATTATGAAGCTAAGTACAATCTATCCTGTGCATATTCTTTGTACCGATATTATAGTAACTTACATTTATCATGTCTTCCAATCCACAGATTCTCCAACGTCTCCTGGCCCAAATGCCCAAAAATCGATTTTCGATCAGTACCGCAACACCACCTGTTTTCCAGCCGCAGCACCGCAGCTTTGCCACCTCGCGAGCACCCTATCCCCTGCTTTGGGAGCAGGTGAGGAGGCGCAGGAAACAGCAGCACCACCACCCCCACCATCACCACCATCACCATGTTCACCTGGACGACGTGGAAGATGAGTTTGGGCACTACGACAACTACATAATGGCCGGGGATGATATGGAGGAGGAGGTGGACGTGGAGGTGGACGGCGGGGAGCCGGGATCCCTGCATCTGGACGGAGATTTCCTGTTTCCCAGTGCCCTGGACTTTATGGATCACCATCGCCATCAGCGGCACGTCTTCGAGCAGAAGCAGTTCGATCTGCAGCCACGTCGCCATGCGAACCGGAAGCACTGCAAGCGGAAATGGTCAGCGGTCATGGAGCCACTGGGTGGCAAGGTCGTCGGGGAGGAGGACGTGGACGTGGAGGACGGGTCAGCTGGCGAAAGTCAGCGGTGCAGTCGACTATTCGCCGGTGTTTTGGAGCGAACGCAGCAGGAACTGCAGCGACTGAGAAGTGAGTAACCTGAAATGTCTGAAACTTTGAGTTTCAGGTGAAGTTGGACTCCCTGATTCAAGATTTTTTGTATCGTACCATTTCTTCAAGCCTACTTTATTTTTTTTCTCCAGTTCTTGGGTCGTTTGGCTCGATTTAGAAGAAATGGGAAATTCTTTAGATGTCCCATACATGTCATAAGAATTGGTTCGCTAATAAATGTGACAAAGTTTGAAAAAGTTTCTAAGATAAAAATTCCGTCACCATTAATTAATTCTTAGTTGCGATATCTTAAAGATGAAATATTGTTGAGCTCTAGCATTTATACTAGCGAACCTACCATTTTATCATAAATAAGTTAAAATTTGTTTTATTTTAAATAATTATTCTTATAACTAGTTATTTAGGAATTCGTTAAAGAAATCAATTTGATCAGTTAAAATGTATGTGATACACTGCATTTATTACAATCATCAACATTATTATCAACATCATTATCAACATCATTATCATCATCATTTATAGTCAAGCTTAAGCAGAAACAGAATTTAATTTGCAATAATTCGATATCAAGCAAAACCATTTAAGGTAGAAAAGCTTGTAGATTGGTTGTCCCTAGTTCTCTTTTTACCAAACTTATTCGACTATGAAAATGCAACTAATACGCATTTTTTCCTTTCAGAACTGGACGGATCGGCTCCAGCACTGGCGGTCAGCTCGGTGGCCGGGCAGCTGATCGACGCCAGCGACTTTGACTGCGTGGTGTGTAGCCGGACACTGTGGAAACCGGTGGTGACCCCGTGCGGACACACGTACTGCCTGGTATGCTTGGATCGTTGCATGGATTACAACTCCCCGTGTCCATTGTGCATGTCACCACTTGTGGAGTTCAATGTCAATGCCAGTGCCAGTGCAAGTGCAAGTGCCAGTCAGAATCCGAATCCGAATCCGAATCAAAATCAGAACCACCTGCATCCGGGCTCATCCTCGCCAGTTCCTTTCGCGCTGGCCAAGCGGCCAGTGACGAAGTTCCTAGAAGCCGCAATGAAACGATTCATTCCAGACCACTACGAGGCGCGTTTTCGCCAGGAGATCGACCAGGAGCCCTCCGTGCCCGTGTTCATCTGCACAGCAGCCTTTCCAGCGGTGCCGTGTCCCCTGTTTGTATGCGAGCCCCGCTACCGTCTGATGGTCCGGCGAGCCGTTAAATCGGGCGACAAAACATTCGGCATAGTGCAGCCGAATGGCGGGAAATCGCGGTACTACGATGTGGGCACCATCCTGGACATCCGCGACTGCGTTCAGCTGGGCGACGGCTGCTCGATCCTCAGCACGATTGGCTGCAAGCGCTTCAAGATCCTGGCGCGCAACGAAAAGGATGGCTATGAGACGGCCAAGGTGGAGTACATCTGCGACGAGCCCATCGCCGAGGAGCAGGTGAAGATTCTGGCTGGAATGCAGGGTGTGGTTCTGGCCAAGGCCAGCGGCTGGTTCGAGAGCCTGAGTACGGAGCAGAAGCACGAGATCCTGCAGAGCTACGGCCAGATGCCGCCACTGGAGCCGAACTGGGAGCTGATCAGCGACGGACCGGCGTGGGCTTGGTGGGTCATAGCTCTACTGCCGCTTTCGCAGCAGCTTAAGGTGGGTTTACCATAGTTTAAATCTGTTTGAGCACTTGTTAATAACGGAATTTACGTCACCAGGTGGACATATTGGCCACAACCTCGCTGGAAAAGCGGCTGCGTGCCATTGGCAAGACGCTGGACTGGTTGCACGACCTTAGCCACCCACAACAGCCGGCGCACCACCACCAGCAGGCAGTACAGTCGCCGCAGCAGGCACATCATCTCGATCTCGACTGCGAGGAGCAGGAAGCGGCCTCATCCGGCTCCGATGAATGTTGCCTATTTGCGGAAACCGGAAACGAGCCGCACACGGATGAGGAGCTGCTCCTCTAGAACGCCTCGATGAATATCCTAAAAATTAAAACATAAACATAAAGAGAGAAATTAAAAGTCAGATATCTGCGAGAAACACTTTTTTGTAAATTCTGTGTCTAAGCCATTTCGTTTGTAATCGAACGTTACATGTTAATCCTAGGGGCCAAAACCGAAAGCGAAGCAACTTTAGCAGAACCAAAATTATCACTAGATCAGCAACATAATCTTTAGCTCTAACCGATTACTTTGTGTGTGTGTAATGTATATTGTAAATGTGTGTAACAAAAAAACTAGTGAGCAACCCAGATAAGTTTGTTTAGGAGCAACAAAAGAAAAAATACCAAAAACCCAGTGAAACAATCAAGAACTTGCTTTTGGCTCAAGCCCACACCCAAAATCCCATAACTGTGAACTTCATTTCCCTAGATCGACTACAACCACATTCCACAAATCTTGAAAATACGTTTGCCATAGCAGAAGAAGAAATGGAACGAAAATATGCTAAAATAAAATAAAAACTCTAACAAACAAAACTCATGGTTTCTACAAACAAAACACACAAATTTTTGAACATAAAACAATTTTAAAATTACTAATAAAATACCAAGACAAAGGCCAACAAACATACACCTAGAAGAAAATACAAACCAATCGGATAGAAAAGAGCCAAGTAAAACAAACTCTTACAAAAAGATTAACTTCTCTTCATTTACTTTGTATAAAGCGGCTGGAACTCTAAGACAATCTGCAAAATATTTTTTTGATATACCTAAACTAAAAACAATATATACAAGAAGAAATTAAACAAAAACTGAACTAGAAACTAGTTATGAAAGAAGTGAGTGGGAGAAAAAATTACCTTTTTGTTGATTAATACCCTTTTACTATGAACACTCTTTAACTCCAACCCCTCTCTATAACACCCCTATTCTCTCTTGATTATGCTTAGGCTAACTAAATGATATGCTCACCTATATATACCTATATAAACAATTCTATATGCTAATTGCTTATTTCTGTAATCGTATCTGTATCTTCAGCCCGCATTCCTATTGAAGAAATAACTTTGATATATCTTTGAAAACATTAGCTAGATCTTCTTTGTCTTTGATTTCTTCTACTTCTAAGCCTCATGCTCATTTGATTTTTTCATTCTTAATCTTCCAAACTCTCCCTATAAAGCAAATCAATTTTAAAAACAACAATTTGCTTTATTAGTCGGCGTATCTTTATATTTGTAAATATATTTTATCGGATAATCCTAAATTATATGTATACGTTCTACGCTAGCTTTAGATCACGAATTTAATTTTCAGCTCAACACAAAACAAACAAGTAAATCAACAATTTTTGTCAACTAAATATTTATGTAATTTTATACAAAGTATACACATACGTCTAAATTAAATCATTTTGTAATTAAGTTTAGCCACTAAACAAAAACCACATCCAAATTTGACATGATATTTTTGTGTCTTCTTTATAAAGAGAACTTGTTATGTAAATCAATACGAAAATATAATTCAATTTTTTAAAATTCTTAAGATAAAATCAGCAAATATTTTCTCTGTGTTTTTTGTGCTAATAAGGTTTTTTACTGGTACTTCTTTATTTAATAATGATGTAAAAAAAATGAAATCAATTGAAATATAAAATAAATGTAAAACATAATTATTGATTTATTTTTTAATAAGGGTATTTGTTTAATACAGAGGGCGCAAGTATTATAACAAGTGATAGTATTAAAAAAAAACAATTAAAATTGTTATAAAGTTGAATTTAGATAATAATATATTAATATTAATGTTTGCAAACAAGCAACCTATTTAAAACAATTTTTTTTATAAATTAAAGTACCCCCATTAATACTAAAAAGATTTCTGCTGAAATTCAGTTTCAGGTTGATCCCCAAATTCTTCTGACTGCACCACTGCATCGCTGAATAGATAACTATATGTATATTCTGTGTGTTGCATAAACCTATAAAACTTTCAAATCAAATCGAGAAAAACTTGTAAATTGCAAATCTTGTGCTGAAATGTTACGTAAGCATCTAATAAATATCGAATTTCTAGTGCAAGCGGTTCGCGATTTGGCAACTATTGAATAAGAATGAGAATTATTAGTTTGTATGCTACCACAAAGTGAGGTCGCAGTCCTGTATTCGCCGCTGAATTCCATTTCTGCTGATCTCAGACTGACAAAACTATGGCGGACCAAAAAGGTAAGGGAGGTGGAGGCCATGTCAAAATTGACTCAAACTCAACTTTCTTAATACTTATAAAATATTCATAGAAATTCGCATACGCATGAAAAGGAAAACGGAGAAGTGGCCCTGACTATGTGAACTAAGGATCAACGACTTGTTATCGTACATGGATTTCAGGAGCTTGAGACTTTTAATATATGTAGTTATTTTAAGCAATTGAAAGTAACATGCCTTGTTGTTTTTAGCTTAGCGGCCTAAACCATTAATAAATATAGTTTATTACCTTTTCAACCCATTTTGTCTCTTTTAATTATAAAAAACCTTTTACCCTTTTAATCTTTAAAATATATTTTCGATTTTTAGACAAACTCCAAACATTATTTTAAACTAATTATTAACTTATAAACTAACAAATTATTTAAAAGGAACGATTGGATACAACGAAACTAAGGTTTTGAAAATGTTCATTTTATGGCCACGAATTAAAAACAATTTTATTTTGAACTCCCTTTAGTATTATATTAAATATATATTTTAAAGTTATTGATTAATCTACATACTTAAATAACCACAGAAATAAAAAGGGGATTTCACTAAATGTATTGAAATGTTTTTTAATGAGACAAAATTTAGTTATATTTCAATACTTATATTTGTGGTTTAAGAACACAACTTAAGATATAGTCAATGGCTTCTTGCTTAAATAAGTTCTGAATTTTTAACTTATATAACTAGTAATTTATCTGCTTAAAATTGTATATATACAATCTTTTTTTTATAGTCGAATTACAATTGTTTTACAAAATTATTATATAATTTAATTTTGGTGACAGTCGTTTTTATTTCTCGTTTATTTCCTGCTCAATCCCATGCCAAGTTGTAGACAAGACCTAACCCATGGGCCAGACCTTGAACTTAAATCGCAGGCAATTCAGCCAGAAAATATAACCTTAAATCTGTAATCTCTAGACGTAATACCATACCAGCAACCCGCGGTATATCGGACAACAAACAAAAAGGTTGAAGAAAACTGGAGAGTATCATGATACTATCCGATGTGCGAGAGATGCACTGAGAGAACCCCGCTGGCGACCGTGTGTGTGTTGATAGTTTTATAGAGCGGTAGATAAAGACTCGACTCAGATCCGCGATCGGTGCAATTGAGTGATACGGTGGTTCTGAGTGGGGAAAATCGACCCGAGTGCATATTAAATAATACCCGAGTGTCCTGGCTCAATCAGTCAGTCAGGTAGTGCTCGGAATGCTCGCACATATCGCGTATACGCCCCGGCCGGCATTAAAACAGACTTGTAGACCGACTCTCTCGCCCGATTTAGTAACTTTGTATTTGTGAGAACGCTTCTGGAGACCCGCTCACATTTCGATGCATTTCGCAGTTTTTCGTTTATCCACAGGTTTATTTGCGTTTGTAGTTTTTCGCGAGCTTAGAAAATGCATTTCTCGTGCATTTATTCAGTTTGAGTCCAGCACGCGCAGCGTCAACGAGCGGATCTCTCTTTTTTCGAATCGGGTCTACGGCTTATACGTATTTTTCTCCCGGTTATTCGAGTGTGCAGTTATTTTTGTATTTTACAAGTATTTAGCCCATCCGAAGCAAAGTCAAGCTGTCTGTCGTGAATATTGTCTCTAACTGTAACTCGATCGCAAGTAACACACTTTCAAAGTGTTCGTTTGTTGGGTTCTGTTTCGGTTTTGGGTTTAAATTTTGTTTGTCTTTGCCTCCTTCGCGCTTCGCACGAATTTTTAAAATTTCTTTACACTGTTGACTGTGCCGAACATTTTTTTTTTACCCTTTAACAACAATGAAACGTCCGCAGAAATTACTTAAATGATTTTTGTGTTTGGATATCGGTTTCTATATATATGCATATATGTCACCAAGTGCAAGCCGGCGAGAAATACCAAAAAGAGCAAAGCAGAACGGGAAAAGTTGTTATGTAACCTTTTAAAATGTTTTGCACACATGCGCTATAATAACAGAAAAAATATAAAAAAAAACTTTAAGAAATTTAGTGTAAAACAGAAGAAGACAGATGAATAAGCTGTCGAAGGAAATTAAATGGAAAGAAATAAATAATTTAATTAATAATGGGCGTTTTTCTAATCCAATTATTTCAGTGTTGTTATAAATAAAAGTGAGTGATGTTGCAATAAAATATAAGTGCAATTAAAAACGAATAATTAAATAGAAAATCATATTAAAATTCAAACATGTACAAAATAATGTTTTCAGAAAAATCACTTTCAAATGATAAAAACAATATTTTCAGATAAATAATGGATGCAGCAAGACTTAGGAACATACGTTTTTAAATAATTAAACTACCTTTAACCAAATTTGTGCGCCAGATCCGAAAACTCAAACCTACAAATCAGCTGCGACCAAATTGTGAAAGTATAGTGAACAAAATGAATACAAAAAAAAAAACAAACAAGCGCAGTGACAAAAAAATATTGTTAGAAAAATGCAGCGGGAGAGCGATAAGGCGAAAACCAAGGCGGAAATACGAGGAAAACGAGAGGAGAGACTTCTCGCTTAAAACAAAAGTGCATTCAACCAAAAATTACAAACAATTATCTGCCAGAGGGAACTTTTCAATTGATTTACAGTTCCATTTAGTTGGGCAAATACGATTGCGCCTGCGCAATGTTATTATAAATTTAAAATATAAACGAAAATATGTTTGTATGTGCTCTTTTTATGGCAGTTGTGTTGTTACATTTTTTCATTGTCAAAGTCGGCTTTTATACCCAATAAAAAGATGGGTATATAGTGTTTGTGTTAGTTATTACCAGGCTATAGTAAATATATACCAAAGGCGATGCGTTTTAGTCATATAGGTCTTGTTTGCGGGTTTCATTAGTATTTTTGTTTTAGAGAAATGTGTGACCTCGGAAAACAAAATGTTTTGACCCTTAACGTTGTAATCCCAAATTTATGTGATTATTTTGATAATGATCAATTTATTTGGGTTTCTTTATATGAGCTGTTTTATACTTTTAAATGTATTAAATTATATTAATTTTTATTTAATTTTATGTGTCCCAGAACCATTCATTGTTTAGTATTTTGGCGGTTTCTGAGCTCTATCATAAATGTGGTTTTTATCTTTACTTAATCATTTTTAAACTAGTTTTTATCGATTTTTTACATTTTTGCAGATTTTATAGATAGAATTACAGACATTATTAAAGTAAAAGTATTAGTTCAATTTTAAATATTATAACCTTTTTTAATTTGTAGTTTTAGTTATTTTTTTTAAACAAGTTTTGTTTTGCTACTCTTATTGAGAACTTTTTCAAACCCAATAGTTTAAAATAATTTAGATTCGATGCAAATTTTGTGTAATTGGGTGTAGCTAGGTATTTCCCCAGGTACCCTTTCAACCTTACCCTTTCCATTTGTTTTATTTTAATTTTTTTTTTTGTATTGTTGGCTGGCACGTCTCAGGTCTCGGATCCGGCGTCTTTTTTAATTTTTGAAACGTCATCGTCAGCGTTTGACTGCCCCGTGTATTTGTGTGTGCCAGTCTGTCTAGGTGTGAGTGCGTTACTGATAGTGTGAGTGCGCGTGTGCATTTTGTGCAGTGGTGTGCGATCATGCAGTAGCCGCACACGCTCCCAGTAAAAGTTATTTCAATTGACAACTATATAGACATGCAAAATGGTTTTAAACATTACATGTAATTTAAATTCGTTTTCGTTTATTTTTAGTCAAAAAATATGTGACACAGTTACGAAATGTTACTAAATAATTACTGCAGTCAGCTGCACTTTCTAGGCATTTTTGCTTGGGCTTGCAGAGCTTAAACTTTGCTTTCAGTTTAAGCAAATAGGTTGTTGTTGATACGGTGAGATAAGCAACTGATTGACAACTGCCCAGGTATATTTTTTTTTGCTCAGATTTTAGCTATTTGTAAACAAAGAAAGATAACTTAAAGAAAGCTTCTGGTAGTTTTTAAAGTTTGAGGTAACTATTTGTTACTGAAGTATCTTATGAGTAATTGCACAGACGTCTCAAGTTCATTATCAAAATGAATGAAGAATTTATTGTTTCGTGTTTATTAAAAACACAGTAGAAAGTATTTCAGAAATAATTCTATAAGCATAAAATTCATTAATATGACACAAATAAAATATTTCTCAAAAATGTATGATAAAATACCATAAAGGAATTATTAATATTAAGCTGTTTACTTATTATTCATATTGAAATCAAACAAAATACTATAGTATTTAAGAATCTAATATCTATATGACTTTAAGTTCTAAAACCTAATAAGTTAAATTTGCTCAACAACTTATATGAATATTTTTCTCAATTTGCTTGGAACTTTGACAATTTCCAGCAAAGTCATTAGATTTTCTCACTTGACGATTCCCAAGCCATTTTCTATAAAAATGTTTCTCACTTTAGCTCACTTTAATTTAAAATTCCTTTGAAATAACAAATTAATTTGTAGTTAGTTAGTCCCTTAACACGTTCAGTTATTATTAGTTTCCCCTCCCTGTAACAAATTAATTTTCATTAACAAATTAATTTGTAGTTAGTAAGTCCCTTAACATGTTCAATTATTTAAAGTTTCACCTCCGTGTAGCCATTCCAAATTTAGAGTATTTCCACAGTGATTCCCAGAATTAATTGAACACACTAAATCATGATCAAGCCGTGATGATGTAGCGATGATATTGAGCAGGCGGACTTTAAATGCTTAAGTGATCATCACATCTGTTGATTTATTATTAAATTATTAAGCGTTTCTAGAAAGGCATGTTCAAGATCCGTTTAGCAAACGCTTTAGAACAAAAAAAATGAAAACTCCTTACTGGAAATCTAGTTAAATATAGGGGCCTTTAACCCCTTAAACCATGAAGTCGGTATATACAATAACTATTCTCTAGCCAAGTCTAAGTGTAATTCACAGGAAAGGAAAAAAACAAAACTAAATCAATGAACGGCAAAAGATAAAAATAAAAGTGAACAATTTAATTAAGTCAAGTTTAAAACAACAAACGCAAAAGTGAGACAATAAGTATTACACGTTTTGCGGAAAGAGAAATAGCAGGGAATACGACGACGAAAAAACGGCTGTACAACAGGTCGTATGAGTATTGGGTATTATCACTCACACACGGACACTATGCTGTAATCGCAATGCAATTAGCATTGCCAAGCAAAAGCTCAAGTTCACTGACAAAGAAATCAAGAGAGGGGATATATATACATATATGAGAACCAACACATCGGTCGTATGCGATAATTTCTGTAACTGAGCGAAGCTTTACAAATGCAATCAAATGACGTTAGTTCCCCCCTTCGCAATGCGACAGAGCGAGTCAGCAGGCGTTAGAGAGTGCAAGTGAGCGGGACGGGGCGTGTGGGACCGAAAGAGAGAGGTATAGATATAGCCACTATATCTCACGACGCTCGTGAGTAGGTCAGTCAACGATCTGCGGCTGGGTTGAGTAAACCTGCCATTGCGCTGCACTCCAACCGGCTTTCTGTGCTTTCCCACTATTCCGTACAGTATGCTGTTTTTTCCAACCAACTGGCTTCCGCATTGCAAATATATAAATACGCCTCAAGACACATATCACCAACAATGTTGTCAATGCCAAATGTTTACTATGAGAGCTTCTATCTGTAATAGATGATGGGTTCATACACATCATATGATTTGTTGATAGTTTTTAAGTTGTCTCATGCAGTTTCACTTATGAGGAGAATGATTTTGTTTCTTGGTTTGTTTATCTAAAATATTATTTGTTCATTATAGGTAATATAAAATAGGGTCTATTACTGAAAAATGGGATAATGGGTGACATTTTGCTATTATGGTACGGCTTTTGTTTAACAATTAAAGCAGAGGTACCGAAAAGATTATAAAGTATGAAAAATGCCCTAATTAGAACAACATTCTATTGTTCTTTTACCAAACACTTCTCGAAATTAGTATTAAATCAGCACTAACAAATTGAATTGTAATTAAAAAAACATGTAGGGACGCGATTTTGTTACCAATTTTAACGTAATTTTATTTAAATTTTTTTTACACGGAGTAAAAACAAAAGTTTTTCATTTTCAAACTCATTTTGAAAAGCGCTTCACACACGCTTTAATTGGTATTTAAGCAATTTTAAGAGCACTTTTTCAATCATTTAAGATTGCTATTAATTAAAATGTGAATAGGGCTTTATTTTAGAAAGTGATTAATCACCTGGCTTCTTAAAGTCAACGAGCTTTTAATTATATGCTTAGCCCAGGAATAATTGTTCTAACAACATCTCTTATGTTATTTAAACAGATAAACAAATCAAAAGTTTTAAATTCAGTTTGAATTCATTAACGCTCGAGCTTATAATTTAGCAAACAATGTTGTAACTGGACCACATTCCTTGTGGCAATGCTAGAACATTCAATAATAATACCTAACACGTTCTCTAAATGTCTCTAACTTAATCTTTTTGCACTGTGCGACAAACCAAACCAACCGCACTAATTGCAACACGAGCCATTAAGTGAAGTCATTGGCAATTATCTGGCAGCATTTCAAGTCTGGGTTTTGTCCAACAGCTACTTACGGTTAACCAGCAACACTTGGCCAAAGGCACGGGCAGTGTGCCGTCTTTGATGTGTATTTAAACTGATGTCCCCGGTGTATACATGTGGGAAATTATGAGCTGCGCTTTGGGTCGCTGGTCAAACGGAGCTAAACGGATTAATTACAACTGGCACGGCAGATGTAGGGCTGTGTAATTTTAAGCTGCTTTGCACATTTTAATTAAGCACTGATTTTTCGCCAAATGTACCAGCTTTAAATGGGCTCAACTCCAACGTCACTGGGTGCTGGGAATCAAGTTTTCAACCCATTCCATTGGGTAAATGCATTTAACAGGCTTGCAAAACCTTTGACATTTACTGAAAAGTTTTCAAGTTGTTGTTCGGCAAGAAATTGCTTTTCGCCGAAGCCCCTTAAATGCTGGACCGTCAATTAACAGGGAATAATTTTGTGGGTGTGAAAGCAAATGACTTCAGGTGCGGGAAATGATTGGGAACTAAATGGGATAAAAAGAATTCAAAAGAAAGTCAAGCAAACACAGAGAATTATGCAATCGGAGCCAGCATGGAAGCTTATTTATAGCTGGCAAAAAAGGGGAGCATCCGTAGGCAAAGGTCGGCTGCAGGCAGAGCCAGGCAATTGGTTAGCAGCTGCTCCACTCATCCTCCGGGCTGGTCATCCACCCAGCTCAGCTCAGCCCAACCACCCACTCACTCCAACCACCGAGTGGTTGTTATGGCATTCGCTGAACGCATTTTGTAACATGACAAAATAGCGTAGCATACATTTCAGGGGTTGCAAATGTGCAACATTGATTGGCACGGCCAACTGGCAGATTGGCCACGGGGCCTCCACTCGGGGATCCTGCGCAGGCGCAGCTTATGCGGTTACATAACCCCACGAAACCGATTCGAAAAGGATGCTGGCAGCCAGCAAAGCCGAAACAGAACCACAACTGCACTTGTTGCTGACAGAGCGCGGCGTTTGGCGAACATTTCGAATTGAAGACGCGACGGAAAAATAAAATACCTTAACCTAACTCACCGAAATAAAGCTAATCAATTCTGTGTCCCATTGCAGCCATTCAAAATGTGGCATATTGAGCATATGGAAATCAATTGTTGCGTGAACATTACTTGAACTTTTAATCAAATACCAAAAGCACATATGAACAAAATTATGTGACGGAGTAAATTGTGTGTGGCGTTTGTGAGCAAGTCTTCAAAAGAAGTGGAAAGTTTCGAACTTTCTTCGGTACTTCGCTTTGCCTACTCTTTTTCGGCAATAGTTTAAAAATTGTGCGGTTTGAAGTGGATTATCCGACAGACCCGAAAATGGACGACGAAAGCGATGACAAGGATGATACGAAAAGGTAAGTTCACTACCCATTCAGCACCCATACTCATGTACTAGTAGCTATTCATAAATAGATAGCACAAATCTCTGCACAATCTGCGAGTGACAGTTGACAAGATGTAAAAGAAAAGACGTGTATATGGCGTTTTGCTAAATTTTCCACTAGGTGAAGGTGGATTTGTCCCCTTTGTTTATTATTTTTCTGATGAATGACTGTTTCAAGAAACGACTGCTGTCGTCATAAAATCCCAGATAGCTCCGCACCAATTCGATAATTCACACCCCCGGTTCAATCAAAGAAAACTAATACCGTGGTAACTTAATTCTTTGATCCGTTTTTTCTATGGCCGTCTTAAATGAATTGTAATCTGAGTGCAAATTCGATTAGGTCATGCAATAATTACATTCACCTGGTCTAATAACCCCGCTTCTTAATAACCGAGAGTAACTAAAATACTTGCTTGAAATAAATACAAGAAATTAGTTATCCGATATCCAGAATGATGAGAAAACACAATTGTTTCTACAAGGTTGGGAACGAATGGCTTTAATTACTTATTTTAACAAAGTTTTATTGCAGACTGGGCCTTTAAAGTCCCGAAATGTTGCCGTAATGTTTTGCAAACGATGCATTTATTGCACTTTATTACTGCGTTAAATACTTAGTAACAGACCAATTCGTTAGTCAAAAGAAAAACAAATAATTTCACAATGTTAAATTGTTGTAAAAATGTTTTATTATATAAAGAATATGCATCGTCATTTCTTTTACAATTTCAATTCCAATTTTTCGTTTTGTTGTGTTACAAATACAAATACAAACTTTAAAATCGAGCTATAATTATATATATACTATATCCCAAAGGCTTAAAAAAAATTTAAAAATATAGAAAATAGAAATTTATTCCGATGTTTCTCGTTGGAGTCGTTTGATTTTAATCAAATAAAACCCGCAATTCTGAAACAAAACAACATTATTACACCTCAAAGAAATAAAAACCAAAAATTAATTTTTAAAACAAGATATATTGTTGTAAATTTAATTTAAAAATACTTTCACTAATAGTTTTGCATGTGAGTGAAATATCTGTAAGTACATTTTATAATCCTTTATACAAATCACCACATTTACTCGTCAATATATACTTCCAACTCGTTGCCCTTCAATTAATTGTAAACACATTACTGGCTATCAACTGCCATAACATACTCAAATAAACTGACAATAACAATAATCCCAAGACTCCGCATATCAACCAGTTAGTGACATGCAAATGTCAATGGCAGAGCAGAAAAAGTTAACTCTAGCGCAGCAAACTCAAAGTGACAAAGGGAACACAACCCTTCGCAATCCTTAGAGAAAAATCCGGGATGATGATAGCATATGGGCATATGTGGCTAATCAACGCCAGACAATGCCTCAATGGGTCGGACACACGTGGGTCACACACTCATTTGGGGGTGGTAAATCCAGTTTGTTATGAAATATTTCTATTTCTAGTGAAAGTAGCCGTTGCTAACCGTAAATGCATCCTATTGATTCCTTTTAATTCATAGCTTTCTTTGCAGAAAATCGCGCAATCTCAGCGAAAAGAAGCGGCGGGATCAGTTCAACTCGCTGGTCAACGATCTGAGCGCCTTGATATCCACCTCCAGCAGAAAGATGGACAAGTCCACGGTCCTAAAGTCCACGATAGCTTTCCTGAAGAATCATAATGGTGGGTAAACAATGTTAATTAAACGTAAGCATTTTAACTCAAAATGTATATTATCAGAGGCCACCGATCGCTCGAAGGTTTTCGAAATACATCAAGACTGGAAGCCCACCTTTCTGAGCAACGATGAGTACACCCACCTGATGCTCGAGTCTTTGGATGGTTTCATGATGGTCTTCAGCAGCATGGGCTCCATATTCTATGCCTCGGAAAGTATTACCTCTCAGCTGGGTTACCTGCCGGTAAGACAATTTAATAAATTAAGACTTAACTTCTGAAAAAGCCTAAGGGAGCGCTTGATTTAGGAGCTTTACTAAATTTAAATATTTTTCTTATTTAATCATAGCTATACAAATCTATATAATCATCCATATGCCTAATTTAAGGGCCTGAGGTTTTACCGTCGGCAAAAAACGACACCATTGGTGTGTGTTATCTTAGGTTAATTGATAACTTTTGCAACGATCTTTAAATCACCCAAATAAATAAAAAATTCGAATCACCAATTAGACACAAGTTTGTTATTTGTTTTATTTTAAAGCAGGCCAAGAGCGTTAAATCGGTTTAGATAGTCGATTCGTAAACTAACAAAATTTAACAAACGACAGAAACTCAAATTTATTGTTAATAATGTCTACTAAAAATAAAAGAGCGGTTAACGTGCATTCAACCAACGTTACTTCGGACAATCCCTCGCGCTACGAAATGCTATCCTGGGTAAATAGCATGTTGAAGGCCGAGTTTTCGAAGATCGAGGAGCTGTGCACCGGAGCGGCTTATTGTCAGTTCATGGACATGATGTTCCCCAACTCGGTTCCTGTCAAGCGCATCAAGTTTCGCACTAACCAGGAGCACGAGCATATACACAATTTTAAGATCTTGCAGGCGGTTTTTAAGAAAGTGGTTGTCGATAAGGTCATTCCCATCGAAAGGCTGGTCAAGGGACGCTTTCAGGATAACTTGGAGTTCCTCCAGTGGTTCCGCAAGTTCTTCGATGCGAACTACGATGGCCGAGAATATGATCCAGTAATCGCTCGAAACGGAGTCACCATGGGTTTCGGCACTCATATTGTGGGCCCAAAATGCCAAAAACAGTCGCCCAAAACCACGCCTCGATGTGAAAGCCAAAAAGGGCTCAACATTACTTTTGATTCGGAAAAGGCCAGTACGGAAAACAAGGTGGAGCTCCTGCTACGTTCTCAGCAGCGGGAAATGGAACAGGAACGGGATTTCTACTTTAAGAAACTACGTGATATTGAAACTCTTTGTCGAAAGCACAAATCTGACCCCACTGCAAAACCTATATACGAGAGTGTTCTAAAGATTGTTTATGCCGACAGCCCCAATTAATGTATTCAATAACCCTTAACCTTTTCGAAATTTTTAGTTCTTTTGATATTGGTTACTTTTATGAGCGCCTTACATATATCACTTGGCACTCATACACAAAATAGTTTGCGTGTTTATAGTTTTTAAAGAATTAGTGAAAATTAATAAACTAGACACTGCTCAAGTTACAAATAATAGAGTAATAATAATGATCGAAAATTGGAAAGAATAAATATTTAAATATTAATTATGGACCTCACATCTCTGACAAATTTAACATATTCCAGCAAGATCTGTACAACATGACCATTTATGACCTGGCCTACGAAATGGACCACGAGGCACTGCTAAACATCTTTATGAATCCCACGCCGGTTATCGAGCCCAGACAGACGGATATTAGTTCCAGCAACCAGATCACATTCTACACCCATTTGAGAAGGGGTGGAATGGAGAAAGTGGATGCCAATGCCTACGAACTGGTCAAATTTGTGGGTTACTTTCGTAGGTAGCCATGCAGAGAGTTTCGGTCACCTCCACTGATGCTTATCCTTTAGGTAATGATACCAATACCTCCACGGGTTGCAGTTCGGAGGGTACGAACGGAGGCTCCAATGGACAGCCCGCGGTGCTGCCGCGCATCTTCCAGCAGAATCCCAGTGCCGAGGTGGACAAGAAGCTGGTTTTCGTGGGCACCGGTCGCGTCCAGAATCCCCAATTGATCCGCGAAATGAGCATCATCGATCCCACCAGTAACGAATTCACCTCGAAGCACAGCATGGAGTGGAAGTTCCTGTTCTTGGACCACCGGGCGCCCCCGATTATTGGTTACATGCCGTTCGAGGTTCTGGGCACATCTGGCTACGATTACTACCACTTCGATGATTTGGACAGCATTGTGTCGTGCCACGAGGAGCGTAAGTTATATTTTTGTTTTTTGCGGCTGCTTTGATTTTGTTAACCGTTTTAGTTGTGGGCTTTCAAAAAAATATAAATTGATATATACAATTTCAACTTTCAGTAGAGATATTAAGACCAATAGTATAGCAAGTAAATAATCAATGTAATCAAATTGATATTTCAAAATCTATCCCTGTCTTAAAAACACTTATTTTAAGCTTTTTTTTTTTAATTTCTCTATACTATATTATTTGTCTTTTCCTCGCGAACTCGATAATTGCCTGGTTTTGTTAAACCACTTGTTTGTACTGTTTATAGTGCATCAACAAAAAAAAAATTAATAAAAAGGGCTATGGTCTAAGGCATCTGAAATAACATATGTTTTCTTAAGGTTCATTTTTGTTGATCCCTCTTTTATGATATTTAAATCCCTGTTAATAGTTCGTCAGACGGGCGAGGGCAAATCCTGCTACTACCGATTCCTCACCAAGGGCCAGCAATGGATCTGGCTGCAAACGGACTACTATGTGAGCTACCATCAGTTCAACTCTAAGCCGGACTATGTGGTCTGCACTCACAAGGTGGTCAGCTATGCGGAGGTCCTCAAGGAGAGTCGAAAGGAGTGTCACAAATCGGGAAACAGCATCAGTAGCAACAACAACAATGGAACCAGCAAGGCAATCGCCTCCACGGCAAACAGCAGCCAATCCGCATCTGCCACCACCACTCTAAGGGATTTCGAGCTGAGCAGCCAGAATCTGGATAGCACTTTGCTGGGGACCAGCCTGGCTAATCTGGGAAACGAAACGACGGCCACATCGCCCGCCGTCGACTCATCGCCCATGTGGTCCGCATCGGCTGCTCAGCCCTCTGGTTCCTGCCATATTAGTTCTCTAAAGACATCGCGACCCGCCTCGAGCTACGGAAACATCAGTTCAACGGGCATATCACCGAAAGCCAAGCGGAAGTGTTACTTCTACAACAATCGGGGCAATGACTCGGATTCCACGTCCATTTCCGCGGATTCTGTCACCAGCCGGCAGTCCATGATGACCCACGTTAGTTCGGTAAGTATAGCAAAATAAATTGATGATCGAAAGGGTTGTTCATTGAGGCCATAAACCTAAATGGTTGTACCACTCTATATAAATGCCGTGGACAACAAATAAAGCTTTTCCCTATTGCCCAAATTATATATAGTTTACTCCACCCTTAACTAATTGTTCTTTTTTTGTTGTTGTGACTAATATCATCATTTGAATTGCTGGTATGTGTGGGTAAACACCCGTCTTCATGCGATCTGGTGCTACCGAAAATTCCTTACTCAGAACAAAATTATTATCTTTTGCAAAAAAACCAAATACCCAGTTGTAAATGAGTAACAGCTTTAAATATCTTGTATATAAGTATGTTTAAATATATATCGCGAAAACCACTCGCTCTTTAGTATAGTTTTGGATATCAACGAAAACGTTGCGTTCCTAAAAAGGAACTCGAAAATACTCTGCTTTTAATCAAAAATAATAAGTACATTTAAACGGCTTGTGCTTTCTAAACGCTTATAATTATCGTGTTCTTAAACTAGAGAACTTGTGTCTTAATGTTTTTGTTCCCTGATTCAGAAATTGGCACATACATGTTTTAGTTTGGTTCCATTTTTTAGTTACAGCAATATTTTCAAACCTTGTGCATTTTTTTTTAGATCGGCAACATATAAACACTATAACACAAAGTCAAAATACAGTGCAAAAATCACTTGATTATAAAATTTATTCGAAAAACGAAAATCGATAATTGTTATTATTGATGATTTCATTAATATTTATAGAATTTGCAAGAACAAATCAATATAAGTCACGTTCAATAAAGGTGAGAGTGTGAAGTGCGCAATAATGCCGACAGTTTCCCATCTCGGAAATTGAGTCCACCCGAAGGTCAAGTGCCAGGACATTAGCGAGTGTAATTTGGTATCTCCTTGATGTCCTGACACTTGCTACCATCGGCGGATAGTTCGCAACTGGGACCGAGCAGTTAAAAACTGTTGTAATTATTGCAAAATAATAAGGTTATATATGGTGAGTCAAATTTGTTGACATTATTAAATATCCAATAAATTAAGTCAGGACTTTGAATCAAATACTTAGTTTAATATGTTTAAAGGGTCTAATACTAATACATATAACTCAATAAATTTGTTGGGAAAAGTATAAAATGCGGTTGTCTTAATGAGTGATTTACCCTTTCGATCATCAAGTGATTTCGCAAAATCCATGCTTTATATCTAATACTCTTGTTATTTCCTCAGCAAAGCCAAAGACAACGATCGCATCACCGTGAACACCCCCGCGAGCACCATCACAGTCAGTCGCATCATCACCTGCAGCAACAGCAACAGAGCCAGCAGCAGCAACATCAGCATCAGCAGCAACAGCAGCAGCTGCAACAGCAATTGCAGCATACGGTGGGTGCTCCGAAAATGGTGCCCCTGCTGCCGATTGCATCCACGCAGATCATGGCCGGCAATGCCTGTCAGTTTCCCCAGCCCGCCTATCCACTGGCCAGTCCCCAATTGGTGGCACCCACTTTTCTGGAGCCACCGCAATATCTGACCGCCATACCCATGCAACCGGTGATCGCTCCGTTTCCGGTGGCGCCAGTGTTGTCGCCACTTCCGGTGCAGGCACAGCAGGATCTGCTGCCCGACACCGTGGTGATGACGCCCACGCAGAGCCAGCTGCAGGATCAGCTGCAGCGGAAGCACGACGAGCTGCAAAAGCTGATCCTGCAGCAGCAGAACGAGCTGAGGATCGTCTCGGAGCAACTGCTCCTCTCCCGCTACACATACCTGCAGCCCATGATGTCGATGGGCTTCGCACCGGGCAACATGGCAGCCGCAGCCGTGGGAACCATGGCCGGGGGTCAGCGGGGTCTCAACTTCACCGGCAGCAATGCAGTGCAGCCGCAGTTCAATCAGTATGGATTCGCCTTGAACTCGGAGCAGATGTTGAACCAACAGGACCAGCAGATGATGATGCAGCAGCAGCAGAATCTGCACACGCAGCACCAACACAACTTGCAGCAACAGCATCAGAGTCACACACAACTGCAGCAACATAATCAGCAACAGCAGCAGCAACAGCAACAACAGCAGCAACAGCAGCAACAGCAGCAACAACAGCAGCAACAGCAGCAACAGCAACAGCAGCAGCAGCAACAGCAACAGCAGCAACAGTTGCAACTGCAGCAACAAAATGATATTTTACTACGTGAGGATATCGACGATATAGATGCCTTCCTCAATCTGTCACCCCTGCAATCCCTGGGCTCGCAGTCCACCATAAATCCCTTCAACTCCAGCAGCAATAACAACAATCAAAGCTTTAACGCTGGCAGCACTCTGAACAATGGCAACCAGAACAACAACAATGGCAGTACGAATCCACCGCAAAATAACAACGAGGACTCGCTGTTGTCCTACATGCAAATGGCCACCGAATCGAGTCCCTCGATCAACTTTCACATGGGCATCAGCGATGATGGCTCCGAATCGCAGAGCGAGGACAACAAAATGATGCACAGTTCCAGCAGCACGCAAATGCAGCAGCAGCAGCAGCAACAGCAACAGCAGCAACAACAGCAGCAACAGCAGCAACAGCAGCAACAGCAGCAACAGCAGCAGCAACAGCAGCAGCAAATCCTGCACCAGCATCAACAGCAGTCAAACAACTTTTTCTGTGCGAATCCTTTTCTTAGCAACAGTCAGAATCAGAGCCAAAACCAGTTGCCAAACGATCTGGAAATATTGCCCTACCAGATGTCCCAAGAGCAATCGCAGAATCTATTCAACTCGCCCCACACAGCCCCAGGCAGCAGTCAATAGGGGATCCCCGATGTAAATAACTCCATCGATTGTAAGAATTTAGATGAGTGTTATGCTAGTTTGGCCTCTGGCTCTCATGATCGAACCATCTTTATTGGAAACCCAGAACTAGTTGTAGATCTCGACAGACTGAGTATTTGTCCTCCCCTTTATTCGTGAATTGTATATAGACTAACGCATAGTAGAGTTCTCAAAATATTTCACTGTAGGTAGATTCTAAGCTGTTGTTATAAAATGTTTCGTTTGTAAGCTTAAGTTTCCATAAGTTAGCTTTATCCAGTAAGTGCCATCGAGGCGCAAACAGGGATCTCTGATACGTAATCGAACCTTAAAGCCTAACCCTTAGCTGTTGGTAATTAAATTTACCGAGAAGCGACAACTAACAGCGAACGAGTTGAGCAAAACTAATCCAATTCCATATTATTTTCAAGACTGGGCTTCGCCACTGAGGTCAAATAAAATATTTATATAGGATAGGTATTTGTACAATTCAAAACTCAGGTTGAGATTGCAACTGACATTTATTTTTGCTGTGAACATATTCCCATAAGCTATCTTCAGGCCCGATCTTTTCCGACAGTTGAAATACCATTAGTTCAATCTTTGTTACCCCTGTGTTCCCTGTATTACTATTTTTCTGTTGGAAAACTTCGTTCGAATATGTTTCGATCTGCAGCTGATAAAGAGCCAAATGCTTTAAACTAAGAACTTGTAAATGGAAACAAACTATCTTAAACTCAACTAAAACTACCTTAATAATTCTAGTTAACTCAGTGTTTAAGCTCTGTACATACCTATAGGACAAGTCGGACGAACTTGCTTAAGCCTGTAAATACACATACGAAGATAATAATCTGCAACTAAATTGTACATAACTTAGTGTTTATATGTTTTTCAAAACAAGCTCCCAAAAAACAAACTGAACAAGCTAATCAAATCAAAAAAAAAAAAAGTATCGAACCAAACTGAGTTGTAATAAAGCAAAGAAAAACAGTTACAAAAGACGACTAAATTTAATTTTTTCTCGTTCGTTTTTTTTTTAATTCATAGAGAGGGAGTAATATAGTAAGTATCACGAGTCGATGTTGCTCATTAGATTCCTGATATGAGGCTATAAATCCAGGAAGCCTACAGAGGCTTAGAGCTTATAGTCGAAATTCTCGTGTAATTAGCATTGGTAACATTTATTCGGCAGATCCTCGCATGCGTATACGAATTTTATAAGGCTTACATGGGAGCCACAACAGGAGTTTACTACGAAGACAGCAAAATTCAGGTGCAAAATTCTCCCGGCAGACTTTATCGAAATCTGCACAAGGATGATTTTGTTGTTAAAATTTTTCTATATGCATTGACTCATCTGAGGCTTTGAGGTTGCCGTCCGTTGACGAAGGGCAGCGATAAGAACCTATAAGGTTCTCGCACCCACCTTCACAATCCCTAGACAAAGCGGAGTCTTCACATTCATTAATGTCTGAAGAGAATACAAATTCAAATATTTGACTTCGGATGTAAATTAAATAAATATTTTGGTACATACCCACACAGGTTTTGAAATTAGAATCATCTATTCGATAACCAGTTTCACAGGTGCACACGAATTCTCCCGGCAGGTTGTTGCACACTTGCGCACAACCACCATTTGAATCCTGGCATTCGTCGATATCTGCAACATTATGATATTGTTTATAGCATTTTGGAATATACCTTAATCATTTCACTCACCTTTACAGCTGCTGAGATCGCTGGGATTCAGATAGTAACCCTTCCAGCACTCGCATTTTTTGGTGGATTTGTTACATTCATGGGCACAACCGCCATTATGATCCCCACAGTCCTGAAATGTAAGGTCATAGATATAGGGTCGGTACATGCCAATTTAGAAGTTAATACTTTAGTTACGCCTGGCTGCGTTCTGACTTCATAGGTGTAGGTGTCTTCATCCCATTCTGTATAACCTTCGGTGTAATCCATCCGAGGAATACAATGGGGCTGATTTCCCAACCATTTATATTTTGAGCAGAACATCATACCGCTTCCGGAAATCTCCAATTCGTAGTTGTCACTGCAGTTGAAGATGGCCACCAGAAAGACTTTTCCTCCACTCCAACGCCTCTCGACGGTTGCCTGACCATTATCGATCCTTGGGGGAATGACCCTATGGCAAGTTTGGTCCAACCAGGCCGCAAAAGCATTTTCCAAAGTGGGAATTAATTCTTGAGTAAATCTGTAAGCTTTTGAAGTCGCTGTAGAAATAGATAGGTAAAATTGGTACAACTTTAACAAGAAAAGATAAGAAATTAGAGAATGAAAATAAACTATATTTGCTTTCATTAATAAGTTGCCCAAAAGTATGCTGTGATATATTTTCATATCGTTTAAATTGACTCATTATTTCGCTGAAGGTCACACTCTTTAGTAAATTATATTAATTTTATGTTTTTTTATATAAATGTTGTAACAAAAACGATTCATTTAGATACAAGTCTTGTGAAAATTTTTTGTTTTCCTCCTACTTACCTGTAGGAATCGCTGCGCATATTAGCGCACTTAAAACATATTTCGCCAACCACATTCCTTTAAGATGCTTATAAACCTCCTCTTTCACAGATTTCCACACTTGCTTAACCGAACTTAATTAGCTATAAATTTAACTATACAAAACAAAATAAGTTTTGTTTTTAGTTATATATAAAATAACTCTAACAATAACTTTTATAACTATTATTATTTTAAATAAATAACGATTTAATATCTTTTCTTTGGGTTATAGCTGATTACGGTATAAATTATTTTTTAAGAATTTTTTTTTTCTTTGGTGGTCAAGGCAAGACTGAGATGATGACAAAGAGAATTGTTGCCAAGTAGATACACAAGCTATAAGAGAATATCTAAAAGATATTTATAAACGTTAGTTGTAGTATTGAAGGGTATATGAAACGCGTTCAAAAGTAATCATACCACTTAAGGAATAATGAGACTTACGGAAATCCCCGACCAAAAATCGAAAACACTCTTGTTTTAATTTAGTAGTTAAATTTAATTTAATTTGGGTTTTAATTGAAAATATCAACGCAGCCATTTTGGTACAAAATTTTTTTAAATAAATAGTTAATAACAATTATATTATATTAACATTTTTATTTTTCAGTGCCATTTTCGAGATCTTAGGGTCGGACCCCAATATAATTAGATAATAGCAGACTGGGAACATTTTGGTGTAAACCAGTTTACAAATAGTTAAGAATGGTTGAGAACTTATTTATACCTAATTTTGCAAAATAATTAAAAAAATTTAGTTTTGTTTGTTCAAACATTGATAACGGACAGCCAAAAACATTTCTTAGTTAAATCATTTAAATCGATTTTTGACGTAAGATCAAAATATCGTATTTTTAATTTTTCAAAACATTTTTTTGTAAGGTATAAAAATTCTTTATCAGTATTTCCGTTTGCTCGTCATTTCTACGCAAACTAACCTCTCAGTTTTAAACATTCCAAATGTTGTTGTTTGTTGAAGGTTGTTGGTATAATTATATAGATATATATATCATATGACTATGCCATAAAGCTGATATAGAAATGCTCGAAAAATGTATCTCCAAATCATGATCACATCAATGTCTATAGCTATATACCTATACAAAATTTAGTAAAGTCGTATTATGAATTATTATTTGGGGTTATAGCTTTTATCTACAAAATATACGACTTGCCCTAGTTTGTTTTCTTTCTTGATTTGAGGTTTTTTTTTGTATGTATGTACTGTGCTCTATTAGAAGATGCAGATAGGGATATATAATGGGAGAGATGGTTGTAAGCTATGATAAAAAGTGAGCCATGAGGCATGCCATTAGTGGGAGGGAAAGGGTACTTAAGTAATTCGCCGGTTTTCACAAGATCATAATCAACAACAATACAGCACATTACCAAATGAACAAAAACATTTAAAAAGTACGACTAAATTTCTTGATATTTATTTTTCGATGCGTTCTTAATAATATATAAAGAAAGGGGAAAATAAAATGTATTAGGACATGATTCAGACACGAAGCTTGACAATGGCATTCTGGAGAATCTGGAACTCGGAGTTAATGTTGTTCATCAGATTCGAAATCTGAGGCTTTGAATCAAGAACCTCAACACTCTGGGTATAAGCATTGTAGCGGACACCAAATGGACGCGGAATCGAGTTGGCAAATTTACTAAAAAATGGTTAAGTATTAAAGAGGTTTCGTCAGCAACGTTTGTATCAAATTTCTTACATGGTCTTCTCCTTGGCAGTTTCAAAACTATCAGACACGTAGTACAAGGGCTGGAACTGCGTAATTGGATACTTAGTGATGCCAGTGACCTCCGGTTCAAAGTCCTTCAGCTGTGGCTTATCCGTTAGACAATATTCCAGTTCTCCATAGGAGGACAAAAGACCAGCCCCGTAGGCCTTCAGTTCGCCCTCCTGGCGACACAATCCATACTCGACAGTGAACCAGAAGATCTGTAAGTGTTTAGATATTATAGTTAAATAGTTATAAACAGAAGTCCAGTTTTTATAAGTTGGTTTTGAAAAATACGATTGGACTACTTACAGTGGACAGTTTCTCGATGTAATCATCGGGTGCTCCCAAGGAAGCCAATCCAATCTCCTGACTGAACTGAGCGAAAGCTGGATCTGCAAAGAGTGGAACGTGGCCCATCAGCTCGTGGCAGACATCCGGCTCCGGGGTGTACATGGGTTTGCTGGGATGCCGGATATACTGGGTGGAGTGGAAGACACGGAAGGCCAAGCCAGCCAGAAAATCGCGAGAGCTAAGTAGTCCAGCCACGGGGCGCAAAGTGAAACCAGTGCAATCTGCAAACAAAAATATTTATTAATTAATAAAAATTCTTTCCAATAGATTTGGAGCAGACGCACCTCTCAAAAAATTCGAGACATCCTCCAGCTGGGGAATGTTATCTTCCCGGAAGCCACAGTTGTCCACCAGCAATGGAAAGACGTGATTGTACTCCCGACAGGCGTGGGTCTTGTATAGCTTCGTGAGATTCCTGAAGATAATGCCCCAGGTCTCGATCTCCTCCTTGGTATAGTCAACATGGGGCAGCGGCTCACCATGCTTGTAGTTGTAGGCAATATCGGCAAAGTACTTGCGACGCTTGCGGTACTCCGGATCGGTAAAGCCAGGATGATCGGAGTCCAGTTCGGAGCCATAGCTCAGAATCTGATTGGCAAAGCGATCCAGATCGCGTATACGCCGAGGGAACCAGGGCACTGCCGTGGCATTATCCTTGTAGTCACGCGAAATGATGTTGAAGTAGCTGCACTGCTTCTTCACATCATCGATTGCTCTTCCCAAGGCGCCAGACTTTCCATCGGCCTCCACGAAAAATTCGTAGCCAGGGACACGCAACGAGGATCGCGACTCAATGTGCACAAGGTTGATATCATGCTTCTTGAAAATGGACAAAATATTAGCCAAAGCTCCGCTCGAAAGCGATGAATCCTTGGGCGAGAACAGAAGACAGGTGTTTCTGGCCTCCTGAATATCCACACCTTCGACTATATAAGCCGAATCCTCAACGCGCGTTGGCTAAAAAAGTATATATATATATATATTTGGTAAAATGTTGTTTACTCGTATAAGCCAATTGAAAAGATTAATCTCTAAGTTCCTAATATTCGATTATAATTGAAATTTGTATTTTCTGAAAGTTCTTTATCGGTCGGAAAAAGCTATTTGCGTCATCGAAAATTTGCAAGATTGACATTATGTGACCTAGGTAAGGCCAGCAATCAAGCAAGGCCGTAATAATTCCTAACTATTGCGACTCTGAGTAACCTATAAATGAATCTCCTATTACAAAGGTTAACTAAAGCCAAAATCGATTATTTATTTAGACGAAGCCCTAAATGTGCCTACAAACTGTAACTGTAGTACTTGCATAAGTTTGTTCAATTGTGCATGGACCATATCGAAGGTTTAGGTCTGACCGCAATGGCAAACGGCGCATATTGCCAAGGACCCGACCTAGAACTTGGTGTACTGTGCCTGTGAGAAGGTCGCGAGGCTAATGTGGTTAGCCTTTTGAAGTCTTGAGAAACTACAAGGGCACAATATAAGCCTTGGTACTAACTGAATTTAAATAGTTTAAATATTTAACAATAGCTGTCATTATATTTGTTGTGAGAGGGTGGTAACGTTTAACTATTAAGAGGAATTTGGATTTGATGTTAAACCTGCTTTGACCCAAACAAAAACATGCGACTAATTTAGTAATTCAGGTTCCATTTCTAGTTTCTAATGAATAAAGAAATATACTACTTTAGTTCTCGGGGATTTTCTTTAAGCTACTGATAATTTGTTTTGACCCCAAAGTAAAAATTCCACTTAGTCCAGAAAAACACACTGTTTTTGTTCATTACTATTCCTTTGTCTAGAAGTATTACGAAGTAACCCATTTCCATGACAAGTGCATTTGGTTATAACAAATATAATCTATTATTTGTGTTGTAGATCCGCTTTCCTATTTAAATCAATTTAGAAATATTATATTAATTTATTTTGTTGTTATCTCTTCAAGGTAACAAAAGTTCATGACGAGTACACAAAGCAATAAACTTATTATTGTTATTAATTTTATAGCTTAAAGGTTCACTTTCTATACGATGTGAACAGAGAAATTGCTTATTCAACAAACCTTATCAAACGAGACCTGCCGCTGGTACATTCTCTCAAGATTTTTTGATTGCTTCACTCAATAACAATCCGAAGGCGAACGATCCGCTCAGCACACGATTTAAAACTGATTTCATTTTTTAGTTCAACACGCGCTTAAATAGACTTTTCAATAGACCCCATAGCTGAGCCAAAACGACAACGAAAACCAATCCGATCTGAAACCAGTAAATAATAAAAATAATATTACGGACAATCGGACGAGTGAATGATCTTGGAATGGCATCCACTTGCGGTCCAATCTCAACACTAACTCTGCGGCTGTGGGGTTATCAGTGCCCCGTCTCGATGGGCCTAAAATCTCATTCCATCTCATTACTGAAGCCGCCGTCTGCCTATCAAATCTAAATACTGAAATTTTAATACAGTTCTGCATCTATTATAGAAATTTTTTAGAATACAACATATTCCTAGAAAAGAAAATTAAAACCTTCTTGGACAGCATTCCCAATATATCATACACGTCTTTTTTTTTTTTTTAAATATAAAGGAGCATTTTTAGCATTTTTTTTTAAGTTTTAACTAAAATTTAAACATCTGAAAATCTTATATTATTTATAAATTATTAATTTTCGTAAATAAAACTATTATATTATTTATAAATTATTAATTTTCGTAAATAATACTTTTTATTAAACTATCTTTACTGTTAGGATGTTCCACTGTAATTGTCAAAATAGTATCAGCTCATGTTCGGGGCTTTGCTGGGGTCCACAGTGACAAAACATTATTTCAGCTAGTTCTAGATTTCTTTGTTTTTGCAAAAAATAAAACTGAATAATCTGGACTGTATATTTCTAATGACAGGTTCTAACCAAACGAGTTCAACGGCATTTCAGGGCAATTATTTTAGTAGTGAATAGCTCCAAGTGGGCCTGGCACGCGCTGATTTTGTTGTTATACACTTACGATCCACATTAGTTCATTTAAAAGCAAACCAATCAGTTCACTCACCTGGTTGTTGAATCAATTTTCAGATGTTGGTCCTAAATCACTTATACAAGCCAAAAACTATTATATGATTGGCTTCCACTTTCATGCTGACAGTTCATTTAGCTTAGGGCACGTTATCTGATAAGCCTCCAATTAAAGCTGATGTAATATCAACTAATTTTACTGTTACTAGTTTACCATTTTATGGCATAAACGGCCTTTTTACAGAAACCATCATTAGCTTGTGGAATCAAATAAAATTTTTAACGTTTCAACCGTTTTCGATCCCGCTAAGTGCAATTTTTTCTAAATTCTTGCCTTATGTTTCTTCAACTTGTTTAGTTTGATTTGGTCTTTTTAAGTAGTAGAAGAAGTAGAATATTTTTTAAAATGTATTTATTTAATCGCATGCTTAGTAGTTTTGCGTCACAAAATTTGGTATCAGAAATTGTTGATATGTAGTACGATCGTCACGATCGTTATTTGATAAAATAAATTCTGGAAATTTGAACAAAAGGTATAACGCATATAAAAGACTGGAAATTTGTACACTTAAATCATTTTTTTTCTGAGTGTAGTTTTTTATTATTCTTTTTTAGCTATTTTTGCCCTTGCTTACAGTATTCAAATTAAAGTTGAAAGCAGAAAACTGCTTTTTAAAAAAAAAAATCGTCATCATCTACAATTCGATTTCCGGCCATTTCAATTGCGGTGAGACCTCAAAAAAGTAGTCATAATTTAAACGTCCGATAGGGAAGATGAATTTGAATAGATCTTGGGTGTAGATCACTCTTTGGTGAACAGGAAAGAGTTCTGTCCCCAACACGCTTTTTTGATTGTCAGCTGTAAAAAAAGTAAATAAACGATAAAAAAGGTCTTAACATAAAATAAATATATTTTGATTGACCTTAAAACACTAGCTTTTACTCACCCACGCACTTGGTTTCTGAACCACTCCAAGTTCCGGTAAGAAAACAGGTTCTATGTCCCGGACCCTGCAAAGCGTAGCCAGGATCGCAGGTAATATCGCAGTGCCATTCATAAAACGGCGATTGTTGATACCGTTTACAAAAGACTTTGCCGTTCCGGGGGTTCGGAGGTTGGCGACAAGGGTCCTTGGGCAAGTTCTGGCAAGTTTTTTTGTCTTTAGCCAACCAACCCATTACGCAGTAGCATTCATGGGTACCTAAAAGATTAATGGCAGAGTTAATAATCGGCAAAACTTTTCTTAGCATATTGGAAATGATTGCTCATAATTTTTAAATCCAATTTCCAAGTTTCCAAGTTACGCAGACAACTATACAAACCTTGCAGATTGCGGCACTTCTGCTCACAGCCCCCCTTGTACTCCAGACACTCGTCCACATCTTCGCAACTTTTGCCATCGGACTTTAAGCGATATCCTTCGCGACAGGAACACTCACCGCCCTTGTCAGCCAAGCACATGTGATCGCAACCGTTGTTATTGAGCTCACAGGGATCCGTACAGGTGAAATTGTTACTAAGCGTAAGACCTTGTGGGCACGAGCATTGATAGCTACCGTGGGTATTCTGGCATTCGTGACTGCACAAGTGTGTTCCATCCGTGCACTCGTTAACGTCGACGCAACTGAGACCTTCGCTGCGGAAACCCAATGGGCACTTACAGGTGAAGTCAGTCTCATCCTCACGGAGTAGACATGTTCCTGGCGAGCACCTCTCATGCCCCTTTCCCGTGGAGCAGAAGGATTTGTCCATCAGGCAGGAATGCTGATCATCGGATAGTTTGTAACCCGGACACTTACATTTGTAATTTCCATTTGGGAGATACATTATCTGGTAGGTGCATCTTGTAACATTAACGAGGGAGGCATTAGTGGATTTAGCTGGGAAGGTTTTTGCATCATCTTCCTTTATGGTTGAAGGTGCGGGAGGATGTAAGCCACTCAAGGTACAACTCTGCTTATCCTCGAGGAGATTATAACCCTCAGGGCAGTGACACCGGAAGGATCCTTTTGTATTCTCACACTTGTACTCACAGAAGCGATGGATTATACGTCCGGTTTTTGGGTCTTCATCCTCCATAGCACATTCGTTGATGTCTTGACACCCGTTGCCTTCTGTGGAAAGTTCAAACCCGGCATCGCATGATTCAGAAGGTAAGTTATCCAAGGCACAAATGTGCTTATCTTTGAGAAGATGAGAATCATCAGGGCAGGCAGGACGATTCAGCAAGGGAATACGCTTGATAGTTTTTGCAGTCGCTGTAAGAATAGACAGTTAAAATACGAAGAATTCAATAAAAAAAACTAATAGTTGATGTAGAAAAAATATAAAAGCATAAAACAATATATTATATTTGGATTAGCATGACACATGTTATTTATGATTGTTGACTAAATAAGTAATCTTTAGCGACCATTAACGCGTACCGTAGGTCATTGTTAATGGCGTACCGATAAGCTAAACGAGTCTTTTTATATAAAGTTAATAAAAACGTACATTATACATTTTTGCAACGATAAGAATTATAAATGCCAAAATTTACTGCCGCACAATTAAAAGTTTTTCACCCGGAGGTTCGACTGAGGTTTGTTTTCTGTTCACACTTACCTATAGAAATCGTAAGGCATATTAGCAAGCTTAAAACATCTGTCGACAACCACATTCTGCAGCCGTTCAAACGTTGTTAAGGGAAGAAGCTGCACACTTTTCCAATTTTATAAACGAAGAAATAATAAATTAAATTTGTTCATTATTATTAATAATAGAAAAAACTAAATTTTTTAGTTAAAGACATTAATAGAAACATGTATTTTATTTTTTAACACAAAAAAAAACATTTCAACTGGCAATTTAGTCAGTCACAAAGAAAGTTTGTTAGACTTACAGATTCTAGAGACTTTAAACTATGGTTTAAATACAAACAAAAAAAAAACAATTTATATTATATGTACAAAATTAAGATGCTCAATCATTCCAAATCTAAAGCGTTTCAACATTTCTACATAAAGTTCATGGCATAAATATCAATTGATTCATTCTTCGACCTATCTGTTAATAAAGCTTCAGAATATCCCACCTGGTTTTTGCAAATATTTAAAATTTAAAAATTCAAAATTGAACAAAACCAATTATCAAATTTTATATTTTTAAATATTTTAAGACTACCCTTTTTCGTATATAGTCAAAAAATGAAGTCAAGTGTGTCGAAACATTGACGCTGTTTACATTAATTATATGCTTATAATCGCAGTGTGAAAACAAATATAAGAGCTAGCCAACGGAATATTCGACGTGGCTCTGGTCGGGAAAATAGTAAAATCTTAAACAATTAAGTTTCCATTAAGAAATAAAGAACCATAAAAACGTGTACACAATTGGGTTCATATTGAACAACTGCTTGATTTTTATAATTACATGTGATAAACTTATTTTCGCGAAAATACTATTTTTAAATTCCAAGTTATCGTTAGAACCAGCGATGTAACCTGTAAGCTCAGAAGTATACTTACATACTTAAAAGTATAACATGTCAAATGGACAACAGCCACTTAAGTTATATTTATTTAAGATGTATTTGATAGCGCTTTTAAAATCGTATTCACAACTAAGGGAGACAACTGAACACTTGAACATACGAAACGAGAATGGGAACTTAATTCCAAGCTACACTTGGTATAAGGTTGTATTTTTAATATATAGATTATCAGCTCAGACACATAAGTACGAGTTTCCTATCGATATCTGAGATAACCTTCTGTCTTATAGTTTCAAAGTCTGATTTCTCTCAAAAGATTACCCAGAATGACAGATTTTTAAATTTGTCAATTTTTTTAATTGCTTATATATTATTTGTATTTGTTTTTAAAAATTAAATCTTATATAATTTCCTATCGATATTTAATTCTTTCCAATAACTATCACTTTTGTCTGTTTGCACCATTTCGATTACTAAAGTCAGCATTTTAGTGGGCAGCGTTTCTTTTTTTTTGGTTCTCTCTGAAAAATTTGCAATCTCAAAATACAAATTTTTGATATTTGAAAATTTGAAGTGCGGCTTGCTTTAGCTTACTTTTAGCTATAATTCTGCAGATGGCACCAGCTAAGCCCCGATTGTTTTCTAAGGGGCATATTTATTTAAAAATTAATAAGCTGAATAACGAGGCACTGAATAATGCGATCCTTTTTGTTTTGTTCTAAAGTTGGTGATACAGTTATTGGATATTGTTTTTAGATCATTAATAAATGCCTAAATCTAGACCGATACACACTTGTTAATCTGCGCTAAGGATAAATGGTATTTAATTTGAAGTATTATATTACAAAGGTTTTCAAAAGCCAAATGTGAATTTTTATTTAACAACATTTGTTTTATTAGTTATAATTAAAGAATTTTTAATACAGCTTAGTAAAAATAAACTTGTACAAGCCCACTTTTATTAATTAACTTTTGACGTAGTAGAATTTTGTATGTTTATTTTTATTTAAAATTTTTTTTTTCTACTTGTTGCCTTAGTTTACTTTGAGGTAATCCTGTAGAATATGTATGTATTCTTAAAGTATTCTTAAATTCGCATAAGGTTTTTTATTCGTTTTATGAATAGTTGAGAATGGTGTCTGTCGCAATTGCTTGGGAGTGGATGTGCATAAAGATAATGCACAAACTAAGAATTCGTGTTTCGATGACGATGCGATGAACGCATGCGGCGACTCAAATTATTCGATGGAAGGACTTTCTGCCGACTGCATCCCTGGGGTAGGTTGACCTTAAAAATCAGAAAAGAGCATATGGGCATATTTAAGAGAGAACAACAAATTCGATTTTTTTATCCGTAATTTTTTCTTATATTGAGAATTGTCAATTTATACAAATTTAGATGACTAGTTTTAATTATTTACCTCAGTTTACACGATAAATGCGCTACAAACTATCTACATATATGCTGATATTTGCAGTACCGCATACATTTTTAATAGTCGTACATTCTTGAGGTGCAATAAGCATTTACACTTAAAGAATGTTATCTTTCTAGAAAAAAAGTCTTTTATGGCCAAAATCTTAACAGAGAGATGAAGCATTGTAAATTAAAGAACGTTATTTTTCACGTAAAATAAGCTTTCCATGGCCAAAATTGGTTAACCAGATCTAAAGAAAAACAAAAAAATAGGCAGTAAAATATGTGAAAAACTTAAATTAACTTAAAAAATGGTATCATTAGCAACATTTTGAATGTTTTTTTTTAAATCGCAAGGTTTATATAAAAACTTTCGACTTAAATTGTAATACCCTATGCAAAGGTATAAAAATTTAAAAATAGCTGTTTAAAACCTTTGGGCCGAATACTCATTTAACTACTCTAGCATGTACATAAATGGCATTACCTTCAGGGGCTCGCACTTTTTACATTTTAAAAACCAGACTTACGGAATTCTCAGCAGACACACGGATGGTTCCCCGATCCGGACAGACGATATAGTACTCTGAACCATCGATGACCGTAAGCTGGGCTGGCTTAGACCTGGTTTCGGATTTATGGTCAAATGTAATCGCTGACTGGACAGGTGGACGATTGGGTCTTGCAGCTATAAATACATTAATTACACATTTTTTAATATTAAATGTATTGATGTAAATATGGGACAACGTTTCATAGCTAGTGTTTAATAATTTATTTAGGGCCGTTCAAATTAAATTGAGAACGCAAAAAAGGGTTCTTGCTCGTATGGGTTAAATATGTTAAAAATAATATATATAAAAAAATAACGTTTAAATTTAAAAAATAATATTTTTAAACACATACGTTTTGATCTGGAGTCATATGGTGGCTCAGTTAATGAGGGAATCAGGCGACTGGGATATATTTGTTGGACAGAATTTAACGGATTCGAACGGATATTAGCTCGAGTGTTGAATTTGTCGGAACCGTGTGGTGACTCAGTAGTTGGGCTCACAATTTGATTTCTAGTGCTATTTCTAGGAGCAATTAGTAATGATTTTAAAAAGCCGAATGCATTGGTTTGCTCCGGGGATTGCCATTCTGGTGTGCATTGAAGCTCGGATTTGATGGTCCACCCTAAACCAAGCACGCAGGTTGTTTGTAAATGTCCGATAGGCACAAAGCCGGAATCACACTTCAATTGGCAATTGACTCCATTCTTGGATGGCCCTTGGGTGCAGATTTCCGGAGATATAACTCCATTATGAGCAGGTTTCAGAGCAGGACAGAGTTCTGTCCTCGGCCCGCTTGTCTGAAGAACACGCTTTTCTGGTAAAAAAAAAAATAAATATGAAAATATATAAATATGTCTTCGATTTAGTAAAAACCTTAAACCACAGGCACTTTACTCACCCACGCATTTGGTTTCTGAACCATCCCACTTTCCGGAGTAATTACAGGTCCTGTGCCTCGATCCCTGGAGGACATAGCCAACATTGCAGGTAATAGCACAGTTCCATTTAAAGAACTGCTTTTCAATATGTCTCATACAACTAACATTGCCGTTGCGAGGTTTCTGGAGTTGGCGACAGTTGTCTCTAGGTTGCAAATTAGTTTTCTGGCAAGTCCTTTTGTCCTTAGTCAACTCATAACCCCTGTCGCAGGAGCACGCATGGGTACCTAGAATATTAATGCAAATATAAGTTATGAGTTAATAATCAAATTAACCTTCTGTAGCACTTAGCTTGTTTTGAGTAATTTTAATGGATTGGGCATTATTTTTGAATTTAAACAATTTTTTTTGAGGTTCTATATACTAACCTTGCAGATTGCGGCACTTCTGATCACAGCCCCCGTTGTGCTCCAGACACTCGTCCACATCCTCGCAACTTTTGCCATCGGACTTTAAGCGATATCCTTCGCGACAGGAACACTCACCGCCCTTGTCAGCCAAGCACATGTGATCGCAACCGTTGCTATTGGGCTCACAGGGATCCGTACAGGTGAAATTGTTACTAAGCGTAAGACCTTGTGGGCACGAGCATTGATAGCTACCATGGGTATTCTGGCATTCGTGACTGCACAAGTGTGTTCCATCCGTGCACTCGTTAACGTCCTGGCAACTGAGACCTTCGCTGCGAAAACCCAATGGGCACTTACAGGTGAAGTCAGTCTCATCCTCACGGAGTAGACATGTTCCTGGCGAGCACCTCTCATGCCCCTTTCCCGTGGAGCAGAAGGATTTGTCCATCAGGCAGGAATGCTGATCATCGGATAGTTTGTAACCCGGACAATTACATTTGAAATTTCCATTTGAGAGATACATTATCTGGTAGGTGCATCTTGTAACATTAACGAGGGAGGCATTAGTAGATTTGGCTGGCAATGTTTTTGCATCATCTTCTTTTATGGTTGAAGGTGCGGGAGGATGTAAGCCACTCAAGGTACAACTCTGCTTATCCTCGAGGAGATTATAACCCTCAGGGCAGTGGCACCGGAAGGATCCTTTTGTATTCTCACACTTGTACTCACAGAAGCGATGGATTATACGCCCGGTTTGTGGGTCCTCATCCTCCAAAGCACATTCGTTGATGTCCTGACACTCGCTTCCATCGGCGGATAGCTGAAAGCCTGGCTTGCATTTTATTGTGCCTGGGAAAACACCGTAGTCGTTCTGAGTTGAATCATCTGTGTCTTCGAGTATGCCGTCCGTTGACGGAAGGCAGCGATAAGAACCAATAAGGTTCTCGCAGCCACCTTCACAGTCCCAAGACAAAGCGGAATCTTCACATTCATTAATGTCTGAAGAGAATTCAAATTCAAATATTTGTAATGCAAGTATTTTGGTACATACCAACACAGGTTTTGTCATTAGAATCATCTATTCGATAACCAGTTTCACAGGTGCACACGAATTCTCCCGGCAGGTTGTTGCACACTTGCGCACAACCACCATTTGAATCCTGGCATTCGTCGATATCTGCAACATTATGATATTGTTTATAGCATTTTGGAATATACCTTAATCATTTCACTCACCTTTACAGCTGCTGAGATCGCTGGGATTCAGATAGTAACCCTTCCAGCACTCGCATTTGTTGGTGGATTTGTTACATTCATGGGCACAACCGCCATTATGATCCCCACAGTCCTGAAATGTAAGGTCATAGATATAGGGTCGGTACATGCCAATTTAGAAGTTAATACTTTAGTTACGCCTGGCTGCGTTCTGGCTTCATAGGTGTAGGTGTCTTCATCCCATTCTGTATAATCTTCGGTGTAATCCATCCGAGGAATACAATGGGGTTGGTTTCCCATCCATTTATATTTTGAGCAGAACATCATACTGTTTCCGGAAAAGTCAAATTCGTAGTTGTCACTGCAGTTGAAGATGGCCACCAGAAAGACTTTTCCTCCACTCCAATGCCTCTCGACGGTGGCCTGACCATAATCGATCCTTGGAGGAGACAACCGATCGCAAGTGCTGTCTAAAAAGTCTACCATAGCATCGCCCAAGAAGGGAATAACTACGGGAGTACCCCTGAAAGGTTTTGAAGTCGCTGTAGAAATAAATAGGTAAAATTGGTACCGAAATAAAAGAAACGAGAATAGAAACTGGCTTCCGTAGGCCGAGGCTTTAATACCCTTGCAGTCATAGCGAAAATTAATGACAGCGCAAATATACCTGTACGGTAAGTATCCTAGACAAATGACTGGTTAAGGATAAAGTCAAGTCAAAGATGAATCCGAAATAAGACAAAACCATTAAAATAGGATGTTAGTTCATGATAAATAAGAATATCTTTCGAAGTCAAACATATTTAAAAATTTTACACGTTTTTTCCTATGTCTGCTATAGTAGTCTTTTTAGCACACTCAGTATGCACAGTTAAATATATAAAAGCATAATTTTATGAGGTGTCTAAAAGTATGACGCAATAATTTTTAATTTCGTTCAGCTTGACTTATAATATCATTGACTTCTTACCAATTTATTTATTTGTATTATTTTGCGGATATATAAGTACACTTGTGCAGATGGTATTACAACCTCATTCAGAAGTCATTGAGCAAGACGCTACCGACCCTATAATGTACATATGTTCTTGATCAAGTGGAAATAGACATGTCCGATGTCCATCCCTTTCAAAATAGTCTCTCAATTCTATCATTTCTCTTATTTTTAAAGCTGTCTTGATAAAACATTCCAAAAGTTGTATTTCTGTTGCGACGATATCAATTATCGAAAAAAATATAATAAAGCTTGGTTGTTTTTCTGTTTCGCACAAAATTTTAAATTAAGTCAAATTATATAATATTTAATTCTTTTATAGCTACAAGGGTATATAAACTTTGGCTAGCCTACATTTTGTTCCTCTTTTTTGTAAATTTTTCAAGATACGTAATATTATAAATTATGTTATTACAAGAAACAATTAATTCAAACGAAGACTTATTAGAAAAGTGGTTTTAGAATTTTAGTCACGCTCACCTGTAGGAATTGCAACGCATATCAGCGCACAAACCAAATATTTTTCCAGCCACATTCTTTATAGATCCTTATTAATCGTTTTCTTCACACCCTCCACACTCACTTTAGCAATCTTCCTTGGTTCAATTTTTTTAAAAAAAGGGAAAATATGTAAACATTTTGATTTTGGTTGCTTCAACATAGTTTTTATTGTGCTATACATCTAGAGAGAAACAAACAAACATAAAATATAGTCGGCTCTATTTAGATACTTTTTTGTTTAGTAACAACTTTCATATAATATTTAATAAATTTTGTAAATTCAAATTAAAGAGCACGTTTAAATAATTCCGTTTCGGTTTCAATATTATTCTTGTCAAGAACGCACCGATTTTGTCGTTGGTCGGGGCAAGACTGAGGTACCAATAGAAATTAGTGCCAAATATATATATAAGTTCTGCAAAATAATATATGAGAATATGTAGGATACAAATAGCTCATTGATTGAATACTGAATATGTAGCGGTTAATAATATATATATATATATATTTAGACTCCAGTTATTAACTTGTTAACTTAAAAATCAATTGCTAAAATTGTACAAGCGCACGGGAACACAGTTAATACTTTACTTTACTTTTCTTCTTTCCGACAAGGCGAAAAACGTTAAATATGCGACTGTTATCTACCAGCAGTCGCTATGTCTTAACTTATCTCGTGTTACTAACTGCAAGAAAGTGACGCAGAAAGTTTGATTAAAGCTAATAACAACTCACCTGCCAAAAATGTGAGCTGGGAAATAGCTGTTTGAATTATTTTTAGAATTGAACCCAAAGTTGACTAACCATATTATTTTTAATAATTACTTTAGACCCTGTAGTGTAATAACTTTCATTGCTTTAATGCGTTATAAGAAGAATTAAATTCACTAAATAATTCATTTGATTAGTTTAAAATTTTTCATCAAAAATAGCTATATTCACTTTCAATTAGCTTAATAAAAATTTAAGTTTATCGAAACTTTTGGCTGCGATTAACAAAACGAATGTGCGAATTTTTTTGTGAGTTTTATATATGCAATCTATGACTTTAACTCAAATATAAATTTCGACGGACAACGTTTTTAAATGTTTGAGAATTTATATCTACATATGCAGGCAAGGCTGGACAACTTTTTTGTCATCAGGGCGTACATAGAGCTCATAGTCGTTCCGATTTTCAATTCAAATCAAAATTCAATACACTTTAAAAGAAAAACCTCAGAAAATTCAATTTTGTGCTGCCAGTCATTCGTCATTCTACTGAAAAATGTCTTATTTAAATGTTTTTTTTTAACGTAAGATCATAATAGCTCATCCCTTCCCATTTCTTGAAATTGTTTGCTTAAATCACAACTAAACATTGCACACAAGGCCAGATTGCCATTTTTTGGCATAAACCCAACAAGCTATTAAAAATTGTGGAGCCAACGTGGCAATTTTCCGAGATTTTAAGTACGGATGATTGAACAACTGTTCGTTGTATACAATATGGAAATATATTTGAAAATGTTGTTGCCGATGTAAGCCATTATCTTGAGTTTTTTCAAAATCGGGAAACTATATTACACAGTGACATATGAAACTCATCCATATTGGTCGTGCTGTTTTATTTAATATTTATTATAGGTTTTATTTTAAAAATAAAAAATATGAACTTATTTCTATTACCCTTGCAGAGGGTGTTATGACATTTCCAAGCCTATAGAGTATATATATTCTTGATCAGCATCACTCCGCTTTAACGCAAATTTCACGATGAAAAATGTATGCCTGAACACCCTAAAAAAAATCCAAAGGTAATCTGCCATAAATTTATGGGTCGTTTTCGTTTTTAGAAAAATATTTTACGTGTGCAGTCTCTCAGTTTTAAGGATAAATGGAAGAAACTTTACCAAAACGAGCCGTATCAGACGAAATCGAAATAGCTTACCAGTTTTTAAACATATAGGCATAGAATACGAGAAATAAAATAATACCTAATGTTTGTAATTGCTACAAGGGTATATTAACTTCGGCTTGTCTAAGGTTGCTTCAAGCTGACATAAAATAAAAGAAACCCTCAATCTCAAAGCAAATGCGCCACTACATTCGCTCGATAAATTGTAAATTGTTTTAATTAAACAAAATAGGCGTAGGCGTGTTACACTCTTCGCACTCTCTGACTTTTTTGGTCAGTCGAGCAAACTTGTTATTGTATCCATATATAAAGTTAAATAGCTCAGCCTAGATGTTTGCTCCCGAGCATCCAAACGAAAGCAATGGTTCCCATTGTCTGGTACTCGATAGCTCACAATTTGATTGACAAATTGATTTTCATCCACACAACTTTAAACGTTTGAAGGTTACACATAATTGACCATTTCATTGATTCGAGGATTGACAGACAATTGGGCGGGCAGCTAATCGCTCGGTATTATCTTTAGCTATTTCAAACGAATTCAGAATAGTTATCGTGGGAGTGTTTGGGCAAATATTTTGTTTAACAAAATAATGATCAAGAAAAATAGTTGGGTTTTTTTTTAACTTTTCTTTTACCTTTTCACTACGTTCACAATAACATAACTGATGAGGGTGAAAAAAAATTGAGTGCGTCGAAAAGTTATCGAGTTTGATTTGATTTTGATTTGATTTTTTTTATTACATAAAACACATTTTTATAAAAAACCTATATCAACGAGTTTCGTAGTACGGCTTTAATTTTAAATGATGTGCCCCAAAACAAAACGTTTTTAAAATTAATATAAAAATATACTCCCTTTTCGGTTTTTTTTAGTTTCAAAACATTTTTGACTAAGATACATCATTTTGTAAATTGTTTAAGCCATAAATGGCAATTGGCAAAACCTTAAACCCAATTATTTTCAGGGTGCATGTTTATTATTTTGAAATAAGTAAGGGGTATCTAGTAGTCGTGGCACTCGACAGTGGCGTTTCTTCTTGGTTAAACATTTTTTAGTTTGACTTCGCATTATACATTGTTAAAGTGATATGTCAGAGACCCAAAGTATCCCCAATTAAACAAAAAAAACAACAATGATTGCGAGTAAGGACCATTTAACACTAAACATACACCCGCTTTTTCCTTGACGGGACAACGCTAGCTTTATGAAGAGTTGTGTCTAGCGGTTTTGGAACATGTGGACTCGATTGATGATAACATAAATTCTTTATAGATTTTTATATGGGTATACAATCGCACAATCCAACTGTGGACCAGAATAACATTAAATTCTTTTAATTTGTTTGACCTTGAGCCGACACAAAAAACCAACAGTGAAAAATAGTATATATATTCTTGGTCAGCATCCCATAGGAACAATCGAAAAAAATTATAAACTAAATAATTTGGTTTTGCAGAAGTTTGATTCTAATTTCGTTAAACAAATCTTCAAAAAAGTAGGAAAAGACTAAGATTAATTAATTAATTTTTTGTTTTGTCTTATTTTAAAAAGAAGGAAAAGAAATGCTCGAAAATTAAATTAAAGTTACTATTAATATACAATAATAATATAAAGTTACTATACAATATACAAATATGTTTGAGGACTAGATATACAAATATTTTACATTTCGAATTTTTGAACCACTGCAAAACTGACAACAATTTGGATTTTAAAATTAATTTAACCTTTTCTTTAAATGTTGATTATTAAAAAAATAACTAAGATCCTTTTTTGATTTTATCTTCAAACTTTTTTCATTTTATGTCTAAAAAATTTTCGACACTGTGCAACTTACTCAGAAATTTAAAATTCGCCATGTGAAAAATTGGAATTATTTTTGATTACGGATTCAAATAGTCGAATATGCGCACAAAAACATCTGAGTCTGAACACTTGAAAGGCTCAAAAGAGAGTGAATGGTTGGGTCTACCCAGTGGAGCAAGACTTCGCCAACGATACTTACTCAAACCATAAAAAACCAAATCATCTGTCGCTCAGCTTGTGGCTGCTACATAACTAAAATAAAATGCGTTAAAATGAAACAGTAACTTTGTTTAATCTAGTTTTTTTTTTACATAAATTAAAATATTTAAATATAAAAGCAATAAATTAATACGCATTGTGATTTCATTTTAATATTAATTTCATCTGTACCGCAAAAGCAGAATACATTTCGTCTTAAGATATGATGAAAATAACATTTTTTTACTTATGTTTTCTGACTGTGAATTTTAAATTATAGTTTTTATTGATAAGGAACAACGAAATATTAAACAAAATTATTTTTAAGTTCACTAATGAGAAGTTTGCTGTTACGAATTTCGACTTTTTATTAATAATTTAAAAGTTGGTTCATTCCAAACCATTTTCCATCAGCAGATTCGGTGTCTGGGAATCACTGGCTGATATGTTGCTCAACAATGTTTTAATTGGCTTTGCAACGACTTATTTAAAATAAATTTTTAATATAATTAATAAATTATAAACCAAATTACATCAAAACTAATAGACTTTAATGAATTCTACTTATTTACAGTTGAGCGGTTAATTAATGGAATATAAAAATTTAATGGGAAAGCGCTCAACTGTAAAATTGTCTAACTCATTAAATGCCACTCGATTCAATGTAATTTGTTTTTATAAATAAACGCATGCCAATCGCTCTCCCATTTAAAAAGAGTTGCATATTGTTTGTACGTTTTAAAATAAAAATCTTGTGGGCGTGCGAATTCGCTCTAACCTCGTTACTTTGTTTGGTCGACTGATATACTTCTAGATTAGTTTTCCCAACCCGGTTAGAGAGCGATGCTTTCCGTGTAGGTTTATGCTCAAAGCGGTTGTCGTGTATTGGCCCATTTACATTTTAGCCTAACCTTAGTTGGAAAATTGTGGAAGCCGCTCGAGGGCGTGGTGTCCACACTTATGTGTCTGAATATAAATATGGTATAGCGCTAGAGATATATTATATGAGCGGAGACTTTATGCCTGGCAAGTCGGTGACTTTTTGTTTCGTCCGAGTATTGAGACAATTAATTTTGACATTTTACTGGGCATTGTTTCAGCTTTGAGTTGGTTACATCCGCTGGCGCTTGGGGAACGGAAAGAAACCACTTCCAAAAAAGACAGTATGAATTCATTATTAATAAAT